GATCAATGGGATGTGTCACGTGAGTGCAAAATCTTCGCTGGACCAGCTCTTGTGGTTTGAACATGGCTGTTTGGTTATGGATTACAAAACAGCTGAAAAGATGGTTTTGCATGCTGAAAGGCAGTGTGCATCTTGGTCCCATTCTCAATGGAGGAATGGAAGGGCGGACTGTGGAGTCGGTTCGTCTGATGCCACGTTGTTGCCGAAGCAGGGAGAAGGCCGAGGAGTATGCGTTCTACATGTGGCCAGGGTTTCTGACACCAATGAGTGTTCGGGAATGGGCATGTTGGACTCGGGAGCATCACATCCTCTCAGATCACTTCGTCCTGGTGAACAGCTTCCGCAGCAAAAGGTGTTGGTGTCTTTAGCTGTTGGGTCTCGGGAGATGTGTATTACCCCAGGTGGGACCCTGGTAACTCCTGAAATGGTAGATCCACTAGTGCCAATTGGCAAAGCGAGCGCTTTGGTTGGTCTCAGAGTTCAGTGGCGTGGTGGCAAGTGCACAGCCTCACATCCTGTTCTGGGGGAACTTCGCGTTCGTGATCTGAATGGGTGCCCTTGTTTGGAAAAGGAGGTGGCGCTTCAGATCATTGATGAAATGGATTGGTGTTCACCAAAGCAAGCATTGAAGGTGGCACGTATGGTTCAAGGGTGTCCGAATACGGACAATGAGGTGGCCGTAAAAGCGTCGTTGCAAAGCGCAGCGCGGACAGCGTCAGCGAATGAGGAGGAGTTCGTCCAGGCATGTTGGCGATTTCTTCGGTGGTATTATGGGGATATACCAGAAAATATGCTGATGGAGCTGTTGCCACGTGGAGATATTGCGGCGTTGCCTTTCAACCGTCATAAACGGAGACGGCTGGCACGAGCAAAAAGGGTGGTGGTACACCTATTTTCAGGAAAACAAAAATGGCATTTTCCCAGTCGGGATGTGGAGGTACTGGAGCTGGATTTGAAGAAAGGCGGAGACCTACATAATTCGAGCGTCTGGAAGTATCTTCTGCATCTGGCGGCTGAAGGAAAGGTGGTTGCTGTGGTTGGAGGACCTCCATGCAGGACAGTGTCAAGGTTGAGAGGTGAAGACGGTGGTCCACCTGTACTACGCCGGCGCTGTGGACCTGAACGGTTGGGATTAAAAAGTCTTCCTTGGCCACATCAAGAATTAGCTCAAAAGGATGGTGTTTTACTTCTGAAGATGCTTTTCCTATATGACGTGGCGGTGCATTCAAGGTGTGGAACTGCTGATGAGTGGTTACATGGTGATAGCGCACCTTCGTGGTGAGTATATGATTGCGGACCTGTTGACAAAATTGATGAGTGGACAGGTTTATGCAAAGCAAAAGGCGCTTTGGGGTCTCCAAATGTTGGTGCAAGGAACTGACTTGAAAAGGGCCTCTCTTGCAATGGCGGTCATGATGGTGGCTGCATCTCTGCAAGGGATGGCAACTGGTGGGGAAGAAGCGTCGATTGCTGGATTCTTTTGCTCCGAAGAAGGGGTGTGCAGGGTCGCCAACACATCTGCGGTGATGGTTCTGGCTCAAGGTATTGAAATGGTTACCAGCAATGCAGACCTTGTTGCATATTTGGTGGCAGCGATTATACTCTGGGAATTGGCCTGGTGCCTCTTTCGGCGGCTGTATAGATGGCTGTGGGTCAAGAAAGTGGTGGTTATTCCCGCGAGTGCCACTTTGTATACAACGGTGGGTGGAAACTGTATGCACGCAAGCAGTGACTGTGATGTTTTTCCACATTCACAGCCCAGGGCTAAGACGCTTTGTAAGCATTGCCTCAAGGATGGCTGGGTGGTGAATGCTGAGTTCCTTGGTGAGGAACGGGTCGCTGGAACGTAGACTTTTTTCAAATGTGAGGTGAAAAAATCCTCAATGGTAAGGGATTCGGCCAATGAGCTGAAGGTTCGTCCTGGAAAGACGTTAAACCATAACATGCATTCCAAGCAGCTGGCTGCTGCCTTAATGACAGCTTTTGGCCCAAAAGTCTGCACCTCCAGTTTGTGTCCTAGGAAATCCTAGGACAGGGGGAGTGCGGAGCTGCAATTTGTATTGAAGGAAAAAGTTGGTGTAGAAGGATAAAGGGGTCAATGTACCCGCTACCATTTTGGCTCAAGATCGGGCCATGCGCCTAGAGAAGAAAGGGTGCTTGGTGTTTTGGGTTGGTTTGTTGTTGGTTGGTCCAGGGGATCAAGGGCTTCTGTTGGGGTTGACTGTTTTGTTCCCTGTCCTCCTTCGGTTGCCCCCCGTATAGGGTTTAGGGCTTTAGGGTTTAGGGTTTAGGGTTTAGGGTTTAGGGACCGTAGAGTAGACTTGGGGGGGGGGGGGGGGGGGGGGGGGGGGGGGGGGGCCGGGAACGCCCGACGCTGAACCATGTTATATATCCATATATATATATATGTATATATATGGCTTCAGCTGTCACGAAAGCTAGCTCTGTGGAGCTGGCGGGAGTTGTCGTTTACCCATGCACTGGTATTCACCTTGTTAAGAAGCTTCCAGGGAAAAAAAGGGTTCCACACCTTAACAGGTCCGAAACCCAAGACTTAAGGTGGGGGTGGGGGGGGGGGCCCCCCCCCCCCCCCCCTCACCTCACCATGAAGCATTTTCGAAGGATAAGGTGCCGGCGCCCCCCCCCCCCCCCTCCTTTAAGGTGGTTGCGCGTGGGATAAGGGAGCGCCCCCCCCCTACCACCTTCAGGTCCCCCCCCCCCACAAGGTCCCCCCCCACCCCCCCCCAAGGTCCTCCCCCGCCCCCCACAGTCACCATGCTCTGAAGGTCTGTGGTACTTTGCAGAGGTCGTACTGAACAGAGCGTCCCTGTACCTAAACTTCGTTTGCGACACGGGGTTCCAGCGGGGGCAGCAAGGGGGCTGAAGGAGTTTAGGGCTTCAGATTTCGAATTTAGGGGTCTTCGATCTTACCTGACTAACCGGTTGAGGCATGTGCCTGAAATACGGAAAAAGCTGCGCCGGCGGCTCCAAGTCCTGCCGACTCGCTGCCTGCCACCCCCCTGTGGTGACTAGCTTTCGTAGCCCCTTCTCAAGTGTTGCTGTATGTTGCCACATCAGCTGAGCATTTCAACAGCTATTCCCATGTGATGTTGCGCTGTGGCTGGGAGTGTAGTCGTTGTTGTATTCCTTGTTGGCTACAAACGGTTTGGGCTGGCATAAGGCTTGTAGCTCTTATTGCCTATGGGGCTGAACCCACTGCTGCAAACACTACATGTGCTGCCAGCGCTGTCAAGGCCACCGCAAAATCCAGTGTTTGACTCTGGACAAATGGCCCCAAGTGGACGGTGCCAGAATGAATGAACTCAAGACTATGACTGTTGTATGTATGCAGTGTTTCGAGCGAGATCTAGTTTTGACATATCACTGTTAGGACGCGCATTGGTTCTTTCTGCCCGGAGATCCACAAAAAAACCAGGTGGCGCTGCCCGCTGTCAACCAGCCAGCGTTCAAAGTTTCCTGTCGGTTGTTGTCGAAGGCCCACGCTTAACCCCAGATCTCCCAAACGATAGGGAATCCTATAGATCGCTGAGACATCGGGTCCAATGGCCATGATTTTAAGATTCTCTCCGGCATCGAATGTCCTCTCCCGCTGCCTGCCGAAGTTTTGTGGAGTAGAAGAGCGTGGGGGGAGCTGGAGGACGAGGAGGGCGCAGGCTCTTTGGATTCCCCTCGTGAGTACAAAAACAAACCATACGGATGGCAGGAGATGGCTTTGCTTTAGTAAAACCACCACCACCACTACTAATATTACTAGAATTGACCCTTTCATCACCACTGCCGCAACTGACCCTTTCTACTTCTCGAAGTTTGCAGTCTCCGGGCTCAGGCTCTGCTCAAAGCTGCCAGTGGCCGGGACCCCAGCGGCCCCTAGAGGGGGATTTTAGGGTTTAGGGACTACTGTGAAGATTATTGGCAGTGTCATTGACGTCGTTATCCTTAGCCTTTTCAACAGGGCCAAGTGATTATCAGAGCGAGAAGGAAAGCGGTTGTTTGAGTATGATGAGTCCAAAACAGTAGAGGCGAAACCTATCTACCAGAATGACAAGTACAACCTCAGCTTGCACATGTTGTAGGGCTTCTCGTGTGGTTGTGCAAGAGATTATAAGAGGATGCCAGAGGCATGGCCCTTGTATCACCTGACCATCGTAGGCCGATGGCAGTATTGCTTGGGTAGGTTTGTCGTTCTTTCAGGCTGTTCTCATTCTATTCACATTCTGTTTTCACTAGTGTTCCACTCTTGTTCCATGAGTTCCACCATTGCCCATTGCTTCCAATTGTTTTCCATTATTGTCCTCAGGCAGGATCCCGAACCCAATTCTCCTATTGTTATCACACGTGGACGGGCAGTGGATTTTTCTTGGGCATATTCTTCTTCAAGGCTACTGCCCGTCTGTTGACATCTTTGTGGGACTGCAGGCTGCAAGAGGGGATTCGGACATGTTTGCAGCTCTGACCGATTTTTGGACGCTCGAGCCGCCAGGCCACAACATTCACCTGGGTGAACAGGAGCCCTAGTGGCACTTCGCCCAGTGCCCGGCATAGTCACTCCGCTGTGCTTACTACAGCCGGGGAGATGTGGGTGTTCGGCGGATACGATGGCAGCAGTTCGGTCCTCGGCGATTCTTGCATGCTTGTTGAGCGAGCGGAGGGATTTTGAGAGCGGTGCTGCGGCCGAGGCCCCTTTTTGAATGACCTTTGGTCCTTGGACACCCAGGCATGGATCAGGGTGGCCGTCACAGTTTCTGAAATTCTCCAAGGTTCATCCTGCCGGGATGCAGGGCGGAAATAGTGCAAACTCCAATCGGGCTTCTAGGTGACATTCGAGGGTACAGAAGTTCGAAGCTAAGTTGGACAACTGCTTCATCCGCTTCTCGAATTGTGCATTGAAAAGGCTTCAGCAAGGTAGGCCCAAAGCTGCAAAGCATGCGTCATGGAGAAATACCGTTTTCAAGGGAAATTTCGAGAGCGAGCAGAATGCGATGTCTGGCATTTGCTACACAGCTTCCCCTCTACAGCGCTTCATCTCAACCTTGCGGGAGGTGACCCGTGTTATCGGAGCGTTGTTTGAGCCACGTCGGAGTAGCGGTGCCCGTCACATCGTTGCTGCTTGATGTGTTTTCTTGCGCATCTGGAGCTGTTAATGGAAGGCGCCAGCCGCAGGCACCCTCGAGTCGCCCTGTGTTGCGGCGAGCTCTGCCTTCTCTGCTGGCAGGCTGCAACGCCCACGTGGGTGGACAGGAGCCCTAGTGGCACTTCGCCCAGTGCCCGGCAATATCACTCCGCTGTGGTTACCACAGCCGGGGAGATGTGGGTGTTCGGCGGACACGCTGGCCAGATCCTCGGCGATTCTTGCATGCTTGTTGAGCGAGCTGAGGGATTTTGAGAGCAGTGCTGCGGCCGAGGCCCCAGGCTGAATGACCTTTGGTCCTTGGACACCCAGGCATGGATCAGGGTGGCCGTCACAGTTTCTGAAATTCTCCAGGGTTCATCACACATGTGAGGGCCTGCCGGGATGCAGGGCGGAAATGGTGCAAAAATGTGTGAACCCCCCAATTAGGGATTCTAGGTGGCATTCGAGGGAACATAAGTTGAAAGCCAAGTTGGTCTCGAATTGCGCATTCCAAAGGCTTCAGCAAGGTAGGCCCAAAGCTGCAAAGCATGCGTCATGGAGAAATACCGTTTTCAAGGGAAATTTCGAGAGCGAGCAGAATGCGATGTCTGGCATTTGCTACACAGCTTCCCCTCTACAGCGCTTCATCTCAACCTTGCGGGAGGTGACCCGTGTTATCGGAGCGTTGTTTGAGCCACGTCGGAGTAGCGGTGCCCGTCACATCGTTGCTGCTTGATGTGTTTTTTTGCGCATCTGGAGCTGTTAATGGAAGGCGCCAGCCGCAGGCACCCTCGAGTCGCCCTGTGTTGCGGCGAGCTCTGCCTTCTCTGCTGGCAGGCTGCAACGCCCACGTGGGTGGACAGGAGCCCTAGTGGCACTTCGCCCAGTGCCCGGTATTTTCACTCCGCTGTGGTTACCACAGCCGGGGAGATGTGGGTGTTCGGCGGAGACAATAGCAGCCAGGTCCTCGGCGATTCTTGCATGCTTGTTGAGAGAGCGGAGGGATTTTGAGAGCAGTGCTGCGGCCGAGGCAGGCAGAATGACCTTTGGTCCTTGGACACCCAGGCATGGATCAGGGTGGCCATCGCAGTTTCTGAAATTCTCCAAGGTTCATCACACATGTGAGGGCCTGCCGGGATGCAGGGTGGAAATGGTGCAAAAATGTGCAAACCCCAATTAGGGATTCTAGGTGGCATTCGAGGGTTCAAGTTGGTCTCGAATTGCGCCTTCCAAAGGCTTCAGCAAGGTAGGCCCAAAGCTGCAAAGCATGCGTCATGGAGAAATACCGTTTTCAAGGGAAATTTCGAGAGCGAGCAGAATGCGATGTCTGGCATTTGCTACACAGCTTCCCCTCTACAGCGCTTCATCTCAACCTTGCGGGAGGTGACCCGTGTTATCGGAGCGTTGTTTGAGCCACGTCGGAGTAGCGGTGCCCGTCACATCGTTGCTGCTTGATGTGTTTTTTTGCGCATCTGGAGCTGTTAATGGAAGGCGCCAGCCGCAGGCACCCTCGAGTCGCCCTGTGTTGCGGCGAGCTCTGCCTTCTCTGCTGGCAGGCTGCAACGCCCACGTGGGTGGACAGGAGCCCTAGTGGCACTTCGCCCAGTGCCCGGTCTCGTCACTCCGCCGTGGTTACCACAGCCGGGGAGATGTGGGTGTTCGGCGGATACGATGGCAGCAGTTCGGTCCTCGGCGATTCTTGCATGCTTGTTGAGCGAGCGGAGGGATTTTGAGAGCAGTGCTGCGGCTGAGGCTTCCTGAATGACCTTTGGTCCTTGGACACCCAGGCATGGATCAGGGTGGCCATCGCAGTTTCTGAAATTCTCCAAGGTTCATCACACATGTGCAGGGCCTGCCGGGATGCAGGGTGGAAATGGTGCAAAAATGTGTAAATCCCAATTAGGGATTCTAGGTGGCATTCGAGGGAACATAAGTTTGAAGCCAAGTTGGTCTCGAATTGCGCCTTCCAAAGGCTTCAGCAAGGTAGAATGCGATGCGATGTCTGGCATTTGCTATGCAGCTTCCCTTCTACAGCGCTTCATCCCAGCCTTGCGGGAGGTGACCCGTGTTATCGGAGCGTTGTTTGAGCCACGTCGGAGTAGCGGTGCCCGTCGCATCGTTGCTGCTTGATGTGTGTTTTTTGCGCATCTGGAGCTGTTAATGGAGGGCGCCAGCCCCCATGCAGGCACCCTCGAGTCGCCTTGTGTTGCGGTGAGCACTGCCTTTTCTGCTGGCAGGCTGCAACGCCCACGTGGGTGGACAGGAGCCCTGGTGGCACTTCGCCCAGTGCCCGGTATGGTCACTCCGCTGTGGTTACCACAGCCGGGGAGATGTGGGTGTTCGGCGGACACGCTGGCCAGATCCTCGGCGATTCTTGCATGCTTGTTGAGCGAGCTGAGGGATTTTGAGAGCAGTGCTGCGGCCGAGGCCCCAGGCTGAATGACCTTTGGTCCTTGGACACCCAGGCATGGATCAGGGTGGCCATCGCAGTTTCTGAAATTCTCCAAGGTTCATCACACATGTGAGGGCCTGCCGGGATGCAGGGTGGAAATGGTGCAAAAATGTGCAAACCCCAATTAGGGATTCTAGGTGGCATTCGAGGGTTCAAGTTGGTCTCGAATTGCGCCTTCCAAAGGCTTCAGCAAGGTAGGCCCAAAGCTGCAAAGCATGCGTCATGGAGAAATACCGTTTTCAAGGGAAATTTCGAGAGCGAGCAGAATGCGATGTCTGGCATTTGCTACACAGCTTCCCCTCTACAGCGCTTCATCTCAACCTTGCGGTGCCCGTCACATCGTTGCTGCTTGATGTGTTTTTTTGCGCATCTGGAGCTGTTAATGGAGGGCGCCAGCCCCCATGCAGGCACCCTCGAGTCGCCCTGTGTTGCGGCGAGCTCTGCCTTCTCTGCTGGCAGGCTGCAACGCCCACGTGGGTGGACAGGAGCCCTGGTGGCACTTCGCCCAGTGCCCGGATGTATCACGCCGCTGTGGTTACCACAGCCGGGGAGATGTGGGTGTTCGGCGGACTCGATGGCAGCGGTCAGGTCCTCGGCGATTCTTGCATGCTTGTTGAGCGAGCGGAGGGATTTTGAGAGCGGTGCTGCGGCCGAGGCTACCCGAACGACCTTCGGTCCTTGGACACTGAGGCCGTGTAGATTAGGTGCTGTTTGACCGTCTTTTGCAATGTATTCGACCGGCTAATTAAATTGTGGGAATGAGAGTGCAACTTTTTTGAGATCCCTAGCGACAGACCCTTCACCAGGACGAGGTGGCAAGCCTGAACTCGGCAAGCCTGAACTAAAAGAAGGTGTAGACACCCTCAACCCCAGAAGTGGCAAAACGGCAATGCTCCAAGGCTGAGCCCTGCATGACAGCGCTGAACGCAGAAACGCTCTCCTCTACCTTCGTGACGTTGTTAGTTGTTAGTGTGCTATCTTGTTTTAACACCACCTGGATTCTGTAAAGCGTGTCCGCCGCCAGACGGCCACAAGCACAAGCGCTTCAAAGAGTTCCACAACCACCGCGTCCATATCTACAACCAGCACGTCGACTTCATCAACACGTACATCTAGCACTTCTGCCACAAGTACGTCTTTGAGCACAACATCCACGACCAGTTCATCTTCCAGCGCGACAAGCACGTCGACCTCTTCTACCAGTACATCCAGCACTTCCACCAGCAGCAGCACCGGTACCGCCACGACCACTAGCACCACCACCACGACCACGACCACCACTACCACCACCAGCACTGGCACTGGCACGACCACCAACAGCACTGCTACTGCCACTACCCGCAGCAGCACCGGTACTGCCACTATCCGCAGCACTACTACGAGCAGCATCGCTGGCACCGCGACTGCCACCAGCAGCAGCAGCACCAGCACCAGCACTAGCACTCGTACCACCACCACCACCAGCACTGGCACTGCCACGACCACCAGCACCACCAGCAGTACTGCTACTGCCACTACCCGCAGCAGCACCGGTGCTGCCACTATCCGCAGCATTACTACGAGCAGCGTCGCTGGCGCCGCGACTACCACCAGCAGCAGCAGCACCACCACCACCACCACCAGCACCAGCACCAGCACCAGCAGCAGCACCAGCACTAGCACTCGTACCACCAGCACTGGCACTGCCACGACCACCGGCAGCACTGCTACTGCCACTACCCGCAGCTGCACCGGTACTGCCACTATCCGCAGCACTACTACGAGCAGCGTCGCTGGCGCCGCGACTACCAGCAGCAGCAGCAGCAGCAGCAGCAGCAGCAGCGGTACTAGCAGTGCTGGCACAACCACCATCGAGGCCTGTAGCAGGAGAGCATCAGAGTGAGGAGCCATAAGGAGCCATACTTGTTCACCATTCTGGGCAGGTCAGCTCAGCCAACCCTGGAGGTGTGGTCGGGGATATCAGAGGCACTGCGACTCTGAGACTGTGATACCTCGGTAGGGCTTTGCCAGGACTGTTCTGCCCTCCGGGCCAACGTGCCAGAGCCCCCAGCACACCGGTGTTGAGCATGTTGCAGTCCAAAGTTGACCCCAGGTTTGTTCCATCACAGCCTACGACATTCAGGGCTGCGGCCCTGGAATATGGGAACAATTCTCCGAACAGTGCTCGGAACAATGGCGAGGCCGGCCGACCGACCTGCCACCGCCCGAGCAGCGTTGCATGGACACGTCTTTGCCCAGCCCCCAGATTGTAAAGCTTCCAACACCATGTCAGCACGTGTGCGCAGTGCCGTCCTGAAGATTTGGCTATGAATTTGGTCGGACGTTTGGTGTGTAGATTGTTTCGGCCAAGTGGCCTCGGCATCTCCGAGTTTCAAGCAGTACCATCGCCCTGAAAGGAAATTAGTAAATGGTCCTCGAAGGCCCCCTTGTATCCACAGCCTTTGAACCATGAACCAAGACCGTGCCCCTGCAACGACCTCTACGAGCGGGTCTGTCGGGACCTCAGGCCTTGTTGATGATGATGATGCTGATGCAAGCACTCCCGGGGAATTGAATTAGTTGTTACCCAACGGGACGAGTCCAAAGTCGCCTTTTGGGGATTCAGCACTGAAACGTGGCACGCCGCGTTCTCGCAACATCATAACGTTTTGATGCCTGCATCGATTGCGTGGTATGTGGTTTTGCGTCTCGTGGATTTGTACATTCACCCGCCTGCATGAGCACGTCACGCCGGTTTCTCCTCAGCATTGTGCAAAGTCCCGGCAGTCTGCTAAAGCCATCCTGCCGTCATAAATTTTGGGATCTCAGCATTGCAGAGCCTTGACACGCACTTTGTCCTGCAATGACATGAGAGGTCTTCTTCGTTCTTGAACGTTGCTGTGGTTATTCTTGTGTCATGTCAGTTGCACGGCTCAGGCAAACCCAACAACTCAACAGTGTCCTGCCAGCCAAAGATTCTCGGGCCCTGTCCCGTGCACTCCAGATGCATCTACTGTCCTTGGTCGGATGAGCTGGGGTGCGTCAGAAGTGCGATTGGTCATCGCTGTGAGGTACTGCAGCGCTGAAGAGCGCCTGGATCGAATTCGGCCGGCTTTAGTTGTCCGTGGCAAGATGCGAACTTGTGCGTAGCCTGGTTCACCCCCTCCCTCCTCCCTACCTTCGGCTTCGAGGCTCCCATGCTGGTCAACCCCCTACGATGCAACGTGGCGGCATTTCACTTCGCATCGAGTACCGGTGCCGGCACCTACATGGCCCCAAGGACGTGGGCCGAGTCGATGGTGGCCAGTTGCCGGAGAAGAGCTGCCATGCAACAGCTACAGGACCGTTTGCATACTTCATGCAACACAGGGGTTGCTATCAGTTTGGCTTTTTGGCAGGCTGCCCTTGTGATGACACCTGGGAGAAGAGGTGTCAGTTCCAGGGGTCATCTTCGTGCTATCTCAAGGCCCAAGACTGTCCTCCGGCCGCAGCGAAACTGAAACCTTGAACTTGGCAGGGGTTCAAAGGCTAAGTTCCCTCAGGGCAAACGAAGTCTCCAAGTGCACACAGTGTAGCTACAAGTGTCCCACCCTTAGAGCCAGCAACACACAAGCAGGGCCCACGTTTGGCAAGTTTACGGCATGAACTTCACAGAAGCTGTTGGAGGCCGAGGCAGGCAAGGAGCCTTCAATGTGGTCTTCAGAACATGCATGCCATTGCATACCCACGAAGAAGAAACAAGGGCATGCCTCATCATGTCCTGGAACTATAAGGTCCCCTGGACTGCGGCAAGTATCCTATTTGCCATCACGCTTCGGGTTCTTTGGCCTCAAGAATCCTGTGGTCTCTGCCTGTTTGGTCAGCCTTGACGCTTTGACCGAGGCAACAAGAGTTGTGCCGACAGTGCTGGGTGCAGCTGCGAAGACAACGAGCACCAATGCCGACACCAGGACGTGCAGGGCAGGGTGACACTCAGCAGCTGCATGTACTTCGTGCATCTGCCGGTAGGGCAAGGCCCTGGTGAGCGTGCCAGCTCGTGTTTTCAGGTTCTGAAGAATCAGCTGTAGCAAGTCCAGCGAAAGGCCCGAGAGCGGTCGTGCCTTCAGGATTCGGGTCTGCACATCTGCCTGTGGAAGGCACGCAGGGTGACGGGGGTACTTGCTCAAGAGCGGACGTGCTCGCCAAGCAACAAGCAAGAAGTTGCTCAGGAGCGGTTCCAGGCCTGCCCGCAGACTTGTGGAGACGACCAGCTCTGCAGCAAGACGTACTTTGCGGAAGGAGTGCAGCCGCCTGGCCAAATGCTTCAGGCACCGTGTCGAAATCTGCTGTTCATAGCCCGAGGCACTTCGTCGAGGAGTGCTACCCCGGACCGTGCCCAGACCCGTGGTGCGACAGCACTGCCAAGCAGCTTCTGGGACTTGAGAGACGAGACGTTGAGACGATTTGAAACGTGAGGCATAGTTAAGTGTTAAAGCGAAGCAGAGCGGCGTGGCTACTTGACAAGTTGAGGTGCGCTGGTGCTTCCGGGACCTTCTGTGTCCCTCGGGAGTTCGACTGCCCTGAAGTATGTCAGGGACAAGAATGTCTTGTTGCGCCTTGGTGAAGATTCACCGACGCAGTGCCCGCGTCTGCTTGTGGCTTGTCGCCTGCCGATCGGCTTGCGCACATCAGCGAAGCTCAAGCAAGGACAACTTCGATGAGCAAGGACGATTGCAGAACTCTTCCACTACATGACACCCAGCTGTAAAAGCCACGGCAGCTCCATTGTCTCAAACCCTTGCACGCAGTGCAGTGTCACGTTCTAGGTCCGACCTCTCCTCTGCAGGCATTCCTGATGGAGCAGACTGCCCTTGCGGCGACAATGCTCTTCGCTGCACCCGCCAGCGTGTGGACTTCTGTGTGGCGGCGCTTTGGCAAGGGAAGCCTTCCTGGGCTTGGGCTCAGCGTGAGTCCTGCGCTGATGCTGAGGAGAGCGAAGGCTGTCCTGAGATCTGCGACCTGGCAACGCACCGCTGGTGCTATGGCCTGTCCTTCACAGCCGATGGCCGGCCCACCCAGCTTGTCCAGCTTGTGCAAGCTTCGTCTAAAGTTCTGCAAGTTCCGCAAAGCCGCGGACCGACCCCGTCTCAGTCTCATGAGGCAGGCGCGACCCAGGCACAGTGATGACGAGTTGCGTTGCCAAGTCGCAGCCGGCACCTCATGGCTTGGCACTTGTACCACGTGTTTTTCTTGCCAAGAGCATGGCTGCAAGGCCGTGCATCTGCGGGGAGCATGCGATGGCATGCAACTGGACGGCGACTTCTCAGAAATTCCCGAAGAGTCTTGCGCTGAGCCTGCAAGCTTCAATGAGCTCAGGATGCAAGCGGGTATGGAGCTCAGTCGTTGTCGCATTCGCACTGGCTGCAATGCTGCTGCAGCTGCAACCAGTCGGAAGCAGTCACGAGGCGCCAGAGGGAAGAGTGCTTGCCAGCAGCTGATTCATGTCCTGAAGTCTGTGTGGGCAAGACCTGCCTCATTGTCGCGCCTTGGATGAGATCTCGAGTTATGCATGTTTTGCAGAAGGACCGAAAGCCTTCCACAATGAAGGAGTTGTGCCAAGCTCAAGGGAAGTGGGGAGCTGCGAAGCCATCGAATCCGCTGAGGACTACAGCGTTTCCGGCGCGATTCAAGGCATTCGAGAGGAGTGCCTGAACGCCGATGTCGCCTGCCCTTGTGGGCGGAACACCATGACGTGCGGTGCGGGTCAGGAGCTTCGGGTTGCAGCAAGCAGCGAACTTGAGATTCAGACTTGGTGATTTACTGGATTTGGAGCCTCTGAGCTGTAAGCTCCTTCTGCATGCCAGTTCTCTCTGAACGCGTCCCGCGAGGGCGAAGTTTCTAAAGTGTGGGGGCCGCAGCTGTGAGTTGTGAGCTCTATGCAGGAATCTTACTGCCTTCCGCGAGGCTTTGCTGCAGGAAGGGGCTTGAAAATGGCAAGAGCATTCTGTTTGTTGTGTTTCTATCTGCGACTCAATGAGGTCTCGGGCTCAGCCGTTGTCCCCTGGTCTGTCCAGACGGCGAAGAGCCCTGCTACCGACCGAGCAACCCGGACCAAGCGAGAGAATGGATTTCAGTGCGCCGTGGGATCGAAGAAGTGTCGGGTTTCGTTGGAGGAGATACTCTACAATTCTACGGCACTCTCATTCTAGGATGCCCTGTTCTTGCTCCGTGAGTCAAGGCCCTGCACGGCTGAGGAAGTTATGCAGTAGCGGCGAGAGACCCAAGGGTTGCCTTCCCCTGCTTGGCCACTGTTTGGCCTGACTGCGCCGTTTGCATGATTGGTGAGGTTTTGATGCTCAGGGCAATCGCCTACCCGCAGAAGAGACTTGTGAGCCTTGGCAGAAAGAGTCCTAAAGAGTCCTCGCAGATTGATGCTTGCTAAGCTTGGTGACCTCTTTGCAAACCACGTCGCCTGCAACATTGCAACGTTGGGGCTGCTCGTCAGGTGCCAATCGGGACCTGGTGCGGCTGCGGACAAGGCTCCTTCCCGTGCAGCACTGTGCCTCGCCTGCACCATGAGCTTCGGCATGCCGCATCCTCAAATGAGCTCCGACTTTCTTGTCAGGGGCAGGGCGAACCAGAGTGCCTACCTGCGGAAGGTCGGTGGCCGTCGCGTGATACGTTGTAGATCGTTCCACCAGTTTGCGTAGCAAAGGCCTGTGCTGCTGATGTGCGCAGGCTACTGTCCCGCCTGCGCACCTGGCGAAATCGAGTGCCCGCTGGTGCAAAACTTCTTCCCGGACGGCATGGAAGATAGCGCCTTGGCTGCGTTGGCACGCGCTCAGAAAGGCCCTGGGATCTTTGTGCTTCCTGCACGGAGGCTTGGCAGGAGCTTGCTGGTAGCATGTGATCCTACGAGCAACTGCGTACTGCGTTGGGCATCTCAGGCATGGTGCCTCCCAGCAGGCAGTGCGCTGGCAGCTTGCTCGACTGCCCGTGTGGGCACGGGGCGACAATGTGTGCAGCCCTCAATCGCTGCATCTTCAAGGCAGAGGGCGGGCGGGGAATTGGGCTGGAATGGTTTTTGTAACTTTCCCACATGCACAGCCCCCACCAGCTGCAAGCTTTGCTCTCTGGGGGTCTTGCAGCGCTCCTGCCGCGATCGATATCATAAAACGCCGGTCCTCTCGTTTGAAGCATCATCACATTATGCCAAGACTTCACAGGGTGCGGCCTGCTGCGCGATTGATGAGAAGACGTGTGTCGTCGTGGACTACACTCCCGACGGGAACTTCACAGGCAGGTGCTGTTGGCGAGCCTGATGAAGACGAGCGCAAGCAGCCGCTGTCAACAGCAAGACCTGTGGCAGGCTCTCGAGAGATCTGCTGGGCATTGGGCGTACCGTGTCCGTGTGGCGCAAACACGCAGCGCTGCCCCGGAGCAGAGCTTTGCCTCCCTGCGTCACCAAGCTGCCTGAAAAGCTACGGATCAAACCAGGTTTGACTGATTTCTGTTCAGGGTGTGCGACTGCTCATGCGTCTCTAGCTTCCTCTATGGATTCCATGGATGAGGCGCCAGATTTAGCAGTTGTTGGCTTTGCGAAGTAGCACGGAAGGCGGTAGGATTAGCCGTTCAGGCGGATATCATGTGATGCATCTGCTCCATCCAGAGATTCTCGGTGGCGACATGTTGGGACATTCGGGGGAACAGTGTCCATCAGGTTGCAGAAGGCCGCCGTGTGCCCCTGCGAGCATCGGCAGCTCTGTGGCAAGAAGGGTTGCACGCGGAAGTGCCGCATTGTTTCCTCCAGCTTTCTCTTAGGCAGAAACCCTGCGAGATCACGGAGTACAGCACGGCAGGCCAGGTGAGGTCTTCCCGCATCTTGCGCGGGTCAGCCTGACACTCTGTGCCTCCACGCAGGTGTGCCGGAGATGTCCTGGAAGCTTTGCGTGGACAGGGAAGCGCCTTGTCCGTGCGGCCGGAATTCGCCGACGGCCAAGACGACCGTCTTCGGAATGCCTCCTTGTCCTAGCCATGGTAACTTAGGCTGCGCTGCCCAGACCCACTGGACCCAGCCTCAGTGATGCAACCTGCCCTTTGACACTCTTTCAGCAACGTTCATGTCATCACTGTTTCCAAGGATGCGAACGGCACGCTGTGCGTGGCGAAGGTCATCAGTCGCTTTGCTGACTTGCTGGTGATGTCGTTATATTCGTTCGGCTCCATCCACACATTTGAGCCCAATCCGAGAATCCAAGCCGCTTGAATCTCAGCCTGAATCATCATGCAAGAGAGCAGTGGCATTTCGCCTGAACTCGAGCCGCTTCGACATAGTCGCGCTGCAGCTGTGGCGAGGTTAGGCAACGACATTACTGAAGTGTGTTGTGTTCAAGAGACTCATACTCAGCACCAGGGAAGTGGAAAAGCGCGGACCTGCCCCAACTGCGAGTCGACCGGAGACGCCCAGGTGGCATTGCAAACTCATGTCCGACGCCATGCTCCCGAGACGAGTTGGCTCGAGGCAGCCAGACCTGCGTGCAGCTTCCTGGCAGGAACATCAGATGCGCCTCGTTTAGCACGTCTAGCAGTCCATACTACATCGAAGCAGGCTGTAAACGGTCCCATGGCAGCCATGTAGATCACTTTCTCAGCCTCAGCGCCGCATCCAGGACCAGCAGTCTCATATTTATCATATCTCCCCAAACGGAGTGTCGCAGGAGTTGTTCCTCTTGTCCTCACAACTTGCCAGTACTACTGCATTGCAAACGCTTCAACTTCAAGCGGGCAAGCAGACAAGTTGCAGGGAGCGGTGCAGCATGAACAAGAGATTCAGAGGGAAATCGTGAGGGGGGAGACGGCGGATTCCCAGAACACTGTATTATCCGGTCCGACACGACCTCTAATGGTCGGGTAAGGCTTCTGCTTAATTCTTCTAAGTCCAGTCCTGCTGTGTGTGCTGAGGCTTGACATCCTCTCTGAGACGCTGCACATCCAAAGAACGAGCACCTCATATGAACTCTCATGATTGGCTTTGTGCTGTTAGCTTGCTTCGCATGTGGTAGAATGGATCAAGCATTCCATTGCCCATTTCTTGAAGGCTTCTGCTGACAGCCAGGCTCCTGCATTTTCAGTTCCGGTTTTTCGCACTGGTCAGGTTGCTTGCCGTTCGGCCTTTGCGACGCCGGCATGCCAATGAAGACCTGCCAGGGCCCCGTGCCTTACAGGGGAGCTGCAGTGGAGTCCGGCTATCCGTGCTTGCAGGTCCCTCTGGCGCCGCGATACCTGTTTGGCAGCCCTGTGAGTTCGGCCGTGCTTCCAGAGGCAACACCAGCATTGAGGTGCTGGAGGTTGCAACGGCGAGCCTTGCAACAGAACGGGAAGGGGGGAGACTTCTTCGCGAGCTTGGCTTTGTTTGGGTGAGCGAAGAAGCTCGGGAGATGACAGCAACTCAGGATCATACCGATGGAGTGGCCAGACCCTTAAAGCCTGAGCAAGTATCTGTTCTACGAGGCAGTGGAGTGTGGCTGAGGTTGCGGACGGGTGCGACGGAGTCTTTAGCCACGGTGGCACTTGCACTCCAATTCCTGCTCGAAATCCCAAATGAGCGCCTTCGGTGGCGTTTAGTTCCCAAGTCTTTTGAATCGGTGTGGTGTGCTCTTCAGTCTTGCTCACTCCCTGAATTTTGTTCCAGATTGCGTGAGACGGCGACCTATGGCTACAGATGTAAAGCACACCAGGATGTGGGAGATGCGTGCAAGTGAGAGATCCAATCTTCATCGGCGCGAAATGAGAATGCAACGACAGACTGGCAGCAGCATCTCAACCGCTACTACGCCGTTTGACAAGTGACACATGCCAATGCTGCCAAGCAATCCCGAATTGTGCGGCCTTGCGCATGGGCTATTCGGCCGTAGCACCTCGAGACACGATCACCGCTCGTTGCTGGGCCCGCGTGTTCGGGCTCAGTAACGTCGAGTCACGCGTGATTTGTGTTACACCTTTACGCCTTGGTTGACTTGTGAAAGACCGAAGCTTCCACGACTCAGAAGCCCATGCTCTTCAGGTGCTTCTCAAGAGTTCCTTGCTAAATACACTCTTCGTGAGTATATCCGAGCAGGTGTCGGCCTGGATCCTTATAATCTGCAGACGCTTGCCTCGAACGCATTCTTGGAGCCAGAGACAACAAGTCATGACATGTCACTGCTTGCTCAAACCTCTGCGTGAAGCAAAAGCTCGAGCGGTGTTTGAGCCGCCCGGACCACATCCATCGCGAGTCCCAGATCAGCGAAGTAGGAGCGGAAGGTTAAACCATGCGCAGCCCCATGGACGAGCACATAGTATTCGGATGTATTCAGCCTCTGAAACAATCAAAACCACGAAGTCTGGAGATTAGATGTGGACTTGATGGTATGTGAGTGCCGATGCGCACTACAATGCATGGTCTGAATCCACCATACAGGTGATGGTGGGGCAGAACGCTTGCTGCCAGAATCTAACTGCACAGTGGAGCGATGCAGGAATCGCCCTAAGCGCTGCAAAGCTTGCAGGTGCGCACGGGCGGGTGAAGCCATGCCCTGAGCAAGGGCCTTCACGGATTCACCCAAATCAGCACGATCTTGACTAAGAAAACTGACTCTCATTACACACGATCGGTACAGCGACGTCTCACTTGCAGACAGCTTGGGGCCATGCAGAAGCTGCTCAGCTTCAGCATCCGAGGGCCTGACAGAAGGAGTAGTTGCACTCTTCGTGTTGCCGTCGTCTAACCCCAGCGAAGACACGATGAGCTCAACATGGCGCTTATCCGGCTTGCGATGGACGCGAGGGCCATTGATCTCTCCCAAGCTCACGACCCGTTCAAGATTGTAGCATGCTGTGTGCAACATTCGCCGAACCCAAGCCTGTGGCTCTCACGGACTGAGTAACGCGACTTCAACATGTAGATGCCAACGACGGTCCTTGAAAGATTGGGAATGTGGTCCATTTCATCTGCCAGCTCTCCGTAGGCCGTAGACAGGGTCAAACGCAATCTGGCGGCTGTCTGTGCTGGTAAGCGCCCCTCCTGGGAGACGTTCCATCTTCAAAGCCGAACTTGGCCTTCAGGCACGTGGTGATTTCATGGTTGCACTCAATGAAATCTTGATCAGCTCCACCGTTGTACTTTACCCGCATCACTGCGCTGCTGCAACCCTCAATGCATCTCTCCTCTCTTGCTCTGCCGCTTGCAGTCTGGACATAGCATCACTGAGCTGACCTTGCAAAGCTCGCATCATAACAGCCGCTGCTGCTGTTGGAGCTGACTGTCTACCTGCTGCACGGCCAGCAATCGATTCGCCACTTCCTTTGTGATGTAATGCCCGCTTGCTGCAAAAACTGAGCTACACATTGGTGCCATAGCGGGTGTTAACGGATTTGTCGGATCCTCTTTCACTTGCACTAGTGAGTTGTTTTTTGCTGGGGGCCTGCACTCAGAACAGTGGGCCGATCATGTTGCCAAACAATCTCGAGTTGTGCTTGTCATCCGCAGCACCTCGAGACACAAATCAACAAGGACTCTGAGCACTTTTCCAATTTTCAGGTAAGCGACGTGGAAAAAGGAACAGCAGCAGCTGGCATTAAATCCTGCTAGTTCTGCAGGCTATTTGGCTTTTCAAGGGGCTTCTGTCTCAGGATGACAACGGCCATCAGTTTGAAAGGCAAAATCCTGTCGCTACTTGGCAGTATATATGATGAATCTCACAGTGGAGTCGGTGTTCACAGTCCGCCTAAGGTTTGCGGTCACCGGCCCGGATGGATCAGGACTGGCAGGTAACCAGAGAGAGCTGACAGCTTCTGCCCGAGCATTGGCCAGGACAGCTTGGCAGTGCTGAGAGGCGTTTAAAGGGCAATGCAGGCGGCTTGCATCAGAATTTGCTCTTCCGCTCGATCATGCCATGCGCCCCTTGTTTTGACGCCTAGGCACCTGGGAGGATCCCAGCGACCTCATCTTGCGCTTGAGGGACAAGGTCCAGGGAAGCGGACGCTCACAAGTGACGCTCTGGACAAGCCGGTTTGGTGCGACAGGCAGCTCGCAGAAGCCCGTCGTTGTGGCAAGTTCTGGACCCTGTTGGATTACCGCTCGCATGCTCCTCAAGAAATCCCCAGTCTCTGAGCAGAGATGTAAGCTGCAGCATGCATCTGGTGAGGCATTTGCCAGCGTTGACACACAGCATATCCTGCTGCTGCCAGAGGACTGTGGGGCCCCTAATTGGGCTGAAGAGTGTTCAGGATGGCGTTCTAGAAGACAAGCTTTTCATCAACATCCGCATTAGGGCGGTGTGGGTGGGAAGGAGACCCCAAGAAACAGCGCAAGCCCCGAACAACGCACTCTTCTTGGGTACTCACCCTCACAGTCTATGACGATGGCTCTTGCTATGGGTGCAGAACTAGGACCAAACCAATCTCTCGTATAACGCCCGACTGGGCAGATCCTGTAGCCAGCAGACCATGTTGAAGTGAATTCGGAATTCTCTTCGTGTCGGCAATTCGCCAGAGTTCAGAGACATCATCCAGCGGCTCGTGAGGCCAAGGGACAATCTGGGTAAAAACTATGGGTGCAGAAAGCTGCCAGGAAGTTGGGGGAGGTGGGGCTTCAAAGGAGAGGCCAAGAATCAGCATAAGGCCTGAGAAAGGCCTTGCCCGACCACTTTTCCCTGGCAGGAAGTGGACGACCAGGAGGCCAACCTGTCAATCGGTTGCTGTTTGCGGTACTTGCGCCGAGGATTCTGTTGGTACAGCATGAATTAGATGGTTGGGGCGAAGTGTTGTTGAGTCTGTCAGGGCGAAGAAGATCTGTCAAAGATTTTGGCTCTCCAGGCCGATGGCGAAAGCGAGAGCCAGGACAAGGCCCCGTGTCTGCCTTGATCTGAGAAAACTTTCCTTTCACGATTTGAAAGTCTGCTGCGAGGCAGATGTCGCTGTCGTCGTGGTCATATCCTCGCTGCCCCTCAGCTGCAGAGGCCTAGGCAAGGCCTGGCCGGGCTTATCGAGGTGCTGGGAACCATCGCAAATGCATGGTTGTGAAGGCATGTTCTTCCAGCTAAGCAGTTTTGGGGGGATCGCTATTTGCAGGCACGGTGATGTTGCAGCAAGACTCCAGGTCCACTTGCCTCCTGGTATCCTGCTGCTTCTTGGTTTGGTGCTTGTGCAAGCGCAAGCAGCGTGTCGTGCTGCTCTCGGCTTGGTCTCCATGGGGACCTGGTCCCGGAAGCAGCAGTATCATTTTTATTGAGGTCCAAAATCTCGCATTTTGAGGTGCCTGAATTCGAGGATGCCAAAGCCCAGGACTTGCCAGCCACGTTTAGGTCAGGAATTTGGGGTGTGTTTGTGCAGTGAAGCGTTCGGTCGCCCTGGTGTCTTTCCGCCCTTTCATTTCCCTACCCTAATCTAGCAAATCGGACTCGTGCCAGGCGAGCAGTATCCCAGATGGCTCCGGCTCTCGTCTGGCCATGATCTCCGCGAGATTTAATGGTGGGCCAGTAGAGATGCAGATGCGAAGTGTGCAGAAGATCCTGGCAGAGCGCAACTACAGGGTTCTAGTTGTCCAGGCAAGTGCGGGCGACGACTTTGGTGACTTGACGTTGAAGTACCTGCACCAAGTCAAAGAAGAGAATGGAGTCATGCTGGCAGTCTGCACAGCGGACTACGCCGAGATGACATCGTCACAGTACTCCTCGCACAAGGAGCTTCGCTACTCGCTGGACAACGACATCGACGTGCTTCCCCTGCGAGTGGAAGAGACCTACCCTCCACAGCCCCCCTTCGGTGAAAATCATCCCCATGATCAACAGGGGGTGGGCCAGGCCCTTGTCCACATGAAGCTGCCACCATCGCTTGTCTATCTAGACTGCAGAGAAAAGACTTCCATGCAGATTGCAACCGCTGTGGCTAAAGAATTGAGCAGCGAGAAGGCGGGGCTCAGGGCGAGGCAGCATGCGAAGCACTTCACATGTTCGTGCCTGACAGGCTCAGAGTGTGGGAGTCTGTTGCTGAGTAAGCTCTGGGTCACAGGCTCTGGTGAAGATGCGCTCCACGACATCGTTGGCATCGAACCGGCCTCGAGAAGCAGAGGCCAGAGCTTGAAAGCCTTCAGCCACAAGCATTCACCTGCTCACAATCGCAGCCCCTGTTTGCATGCACCGAAGCAGGAATGCGATGTGCTTCTTTGTTTAGGGTCAGAGGACACCTAGGGCTCAGGCTTTGGGGTGAGGAGGTGCCTCACACGTCATTTTTTTAAAGGAAAAACATGAGATGGGTCGGTGAACTTACCTGGGCCATGTGTTGCATAGGTCACATTCTTGCATGGTCCAGGGTCATGCCGAACTTGAGTACCATTGCAAGTGCGGCCTGGACCGTCCCATCGTTCTCGTCTTCTGCACAGGGACGCAACCAAGCTCCGACAGCCAGTGACAGGAAAGACTTGGTATTTGCAGCACAAAGGTGCCCAACACGTTTATCTGCAACAACATCCCGCAATCACTAATGCTTGCATAGGACCGTGTGTAGGTGTAAGTACAATCTTGGGCTGTGAGCTCTGCTCGTGCTTTGACTGGCCTGCTTTAGAAGAGAAGGAGGAATCCACAAGCAGTGTCTTCACTGCCTGACGCGTTCCCTCAGTCTCTTCAGGCGATACCGCACCAGGAACTTGGGCTTGGTCTTCAACAGCTTCAACAGCTTTCTTTGCGTGACCAGGCCTGTCTCAAGCATGGAGGCGGAGGCGGCTTGAGCATTTCATCCTGCCCATGATGAAGGCTGCAAAGAGACAGCATCCGCCAAAGCAAGGGCAGCGGGACCAATAGTTGCACTTTCGCCACACTAGCAGCTACACAGTCAGACACAAATAAATGCTTCGCACGGTTGCTGATGACCAGATCCCGTGTATCCGTGTGGCCTGCGCTGCATGCTGCACTGCACGGTGGCGATCGTCGTAGTTGACGGCACGCTTGTTTGCTTTGCCACGTGGCTGCGCATCTGCACACAGGCAACAAGAAGGAAACTCACAGCCGGGATTCACCGCTGTAGTACAAGCCATTTCTTGTCCAGACTGTGTGGCCAGCGAACACTGTTCCGAAGCACTCTTCCCAGACTTCCTGGCGTGCCTCCGGGGACTGCTGCGCATTTTTTGCAGGACATGCACGCCTCACAGTTGGCTTGCAGACTTCGCTTTAGGCTTCAATCCTGTGCAGATAGCTGGTTCACCCGTAACATTTCAGGTGTGAAAGTATGCTCGATTGACAGCTTGCACGAAGCCTGGTAGTCTGTTTAAGCCATTGTTGTACAGCCTGTTAAGATCTACCAGTAGCAAGCATGCGTCCGGTCAACCCCTGGTCGAATTATTGGCAGGGGCTACCACGACGAGTTTCTTAATCCCTCTCTGCTTCGCAACACCGTCAGCAGGCTACGTGTTTCAGTATGCTCATAAGACACAGGCCAGACATAGCCCCCACCAGCCACTTGTCCAAAACAAGATGCGACGTGGGGTTCCTTATGCTAGGCGGGTTAGGTTGGTTGGATATGCTGCACATTCCTTCTGATGCGTACTTTGGTCAGGGGGCGGATGATACGCTGGTCGTTGACCCTTGGATTCTTTCATCTCCCGTGGTGATCTGTTTCGTTTGGAGTGAATGTAGGAGTTTTCGGGGTTAGAAGGCGGCGTCCCTCATGCTTCGGGATTGTCGAGTGCAGGGACTGCCGGATGTAAAGCAGACTCGCTTCTTTCCGAAGTTGCCAGAAGCCCTGGTAGGTGGTGCATGATTCTGATGAGCTTGGCAACATGCATTCACACAAGAAAGTATGACAAGATCCATGCCCTGATTTTCCTGAGTGTCCGCCGTAGGCACAAAAAAACATGGGTGCCACTTTGCTCATACCCCTGACGAGTGTTCAGCTAGATCTGACAATTCCAAACAATATGCGGCAACACTTATAGATACAATAGTTCGTCGCAGCTGCGAGCGCTTAGAGAGCCTCGAAACATGCCAAGTCCTGCATGACCCGAATTAAGGCAAAGCAGCTCACAGTCCAATCTTCATTCCAAGCATAACACGTCCAAGTCGATTTTGAGCACCAAGTCCACATGTACTACCTTCATTTTCTATGCTGTTGTCATCAACTGTTTTACTGTGGGGCCCGGTAGCGTCGGGGGGGTCAACTTTATGCGCAGCTCCATTTAGGATAAGCCCTCGCTTCTTTACAAGGTAGAAGAAATATCCGCGGAGACAAGCCCACAGGACCTGCCCACCGCGTTTGGGTCAAGAAATCGGGGGTATGTCTGTGCAGTGAAGCGTTCCGTCGAAACGCGCCAGGTCAGCGACATCCCAGATGGCGTTGGCACTCGCCTGGCTATGCTATCCGCGCGACGATTCAACAATGCATCGGTGATGAGGCAGATGCAGGCTGTGCAACAGATCCTGACCTTGCGCAACTACGAGGTGGTGGTGGTGGATACAGATGCGGGAGCTGACCTGGGACACAATACGATGGCCTGCCTAGGCCGGATTAAGCGTGAACAAGGCATCATCCTGGGAGTTTGTACCTGGGATTATGCCGAAGTGACATCGTCACAGTACTCCTCGCACAAGGAGCTTCGATACGCGCTGGACAACGACATCGACGTGCTTCCCCTGCGAGTGGAAGAGACCTATCCTCCAATGCCCCCCTTCGGTGAAAATCATCCCCACGATCAACACGGGGTGGGTCAGGCCCTTGTCCACATGAAGCTGCCACCATCGCTTGTCCCTTTGGACTGTCGGGGTAAAACAGCGGTCCAGATCGCGTATGATGTCGCTGGGAGATTGGGCATCGAGAAGGCAGGGCTCAGGGCGAGGCAGCATGCGAAGCACTTCACATGTTCGTGCCAGACAGGCTCATAGTGTGGGTCTGTTGCTGAATAAGCTCTGCACAGTGGCACAGTGTGTGTCTTGCTGCGCTGTGTCACAGGCCCTAGTCAACATGCAGTCCACGAAGGCATCCGCCTCAAAGCAACAGCAACAACAAAACTATTACACTGGATCTGCACAGGAAGTAATAGCCAGGTGCCAAATCTCGAAGTTTGCAAGTTTCGGTCATCAACTTTTGCACGTTTTTGAAGCTAATGCCTTTTGGGCTCGATTTGGCATCAACATGATCAATATTCATGTGGTCTCCGTTTCTCATTGTCAGTGGCCTCAGCACATTCAGCTTGTTGGAAGGGCACATGTGCGGTATCAGGAGAGAAATGTAGATCCAACGATGCTCATGATGCTGGCCTGGCGCGGCTGCTAGGGCCCAACTGCGAGCTGCAGTGCTGTAAGTAAGCTCAATTTCAATAACGATCTCGAGCCAGCGCTGCCGGCAGTGTTTTTGGCTGTAAGCGAATGAACACGGACAAGAAGTTGTTGGCAATGCTTTGCCACATGACGGACACCTTGGTGGAGTTTGGCGCGCTGCACAAGACAAGTGCTGCGAAGTGTGCATTTTCCTGGTTGCTTCAACTATTTTCGAACATGCGTTGAGCCTTTGTGAGCTTTTATACTCTTTGCATGCCGTTGTAGAGAAGAGATTTTCACAAGCTTCTGCTGCCCCGTCCTAGAACGCTCCCGGCATGTAAGTAACAGTGTACATTTTGGCTCAATCCGGTCTTGGAGTGGTCCTTCGGTCATCTTGGCAATGATCTGCAGGGTGGTCCTCCCGTGCGTGTTATTTGGTCCAGTTGCCCAACAGTTGTGAGTCCTGGTGGTAGACATGGGGGCTCCAACGGTGATCCGTACGAACAAAGGATAGCTGTCTGCTTCTGGGGTTTTGTGACGGCAGCTGCCTTGCAACAGGCCGGCCGCTCTCTTCGAGATGCAGGAGATCCCTCAGTCTCGAATTCAAGGACAAGGCACATACTGTCCCTGGAAATCATGGTGCGTAACTAACCCCTGCAAACGTTTCAGCCAGTGCATGTGGCCACCAGCACGTGGCCACCAGCACAGCGACGGGGCTCCCCACCTTATCAATGACAGCCCTATCCCTTTCGCATGTTTTCCACTCTACTCCTTGTAAGGCCTGGCAAACTTCGAGATGTGGTCTAGTTTGAAATGCCTCTGCATGCCTGCAAAGCATGTCATCTCGAAAGGAAGGCTAAATAGATTGTCTGGATAGTGCTGAGACACCGCTTCTCATGCTGGCCTGCCCTTAAGTTGCACGCCTGAATTTTAGGTCAGGCCAAGACCAGAGGGCTTAGGCCTGGCTGGACCCAGAGCTTTGAGTAGTATGATGTACACCAGTAGGTACTAGATGGTACTAGCTTGGGGGTCCGACGTCGGCTTCAGAAGCACAACCAGATACAGCCAGGTCTTTCACATCCTCGCCACCGTTGCCTTGAGGCTGTGAAGCAGTGCGACGCTGTAAGATCCTAGAAGGATCGCGTACAGCTTGCATTACCAAGGTGCAACCACGAGGATATCCGGCAGTGTAACCACGATCCGTATCAGCCTGAGCAAGCTCATCCTCATTGTTGTCTTGTTTGTCATGGTCGCACCAAGTAGTGCAATTCTGACCATTACTGTGATTGTGGCTCTTCATTTGTCATGCCTGTTGTTGTGTCTGTTTCGCAGCTGGTTCGGCGAGCTGTACGCAACAAGGCAGGTCTGCTCAAGACATGTCATGAAATCACATGAGCCCATTGATTCTCAGATTCGAGTTGGTGTTGCAACCGCGGCCCAGGTTGACACCGTTGGTACCGCATGTTCTTTTCAAGGTATGCCCTGAATAAGCTGCGCTCAGCTGCATAGTCGGAAGGTCAAATTACACGCATCTTCAAGAGATGCGCCAGAATTCAATAGACGCTGCAGCAAGCTGCCAGTTCGAGCAACTCAAATCTATTGCGGCCGAGCGACGAAGTCAGTCAAGTAAACCAAAGTCAGAGCGATGTTCGGATATCTGGGTATGCGCCATGTGGGTCACGGGAGATTTGGCAACTTGGTGTCGTGCAGTGTCACTTCGTGCGTTGAGGCGTAGCCCTGTTGACACCTTCGTTCAACTTAGTGAAGCGCTTGGGTGCGAACCTTCAGCGCGGAAATTTGTGTCTTCTTGTGCCTGTCTGCGCCGGGGGGCGGCCTAGCCGCATCCTTTGTTGCCGGGGCCTTCGCTTCCTGGGTGGAGCTTTCTTCTGACATGGATGTGCGAAGTGAGAAGGGGAGTATCCCGAAGGATGATGATGCAAGCGTTCATGTAGAAGCTGTTGAATCTTGGGGGGGCAGGACCGGGCAGGAGGAAGGATGGTTCTAGGAGCTGCAGCCGCTTCCCTGAAAGTCATTCCAGACCCCCCAGATCCTGTCTACAGCCAGTAGTGAACCTTTGTCGCTGTATCACTCCAAGGACCAATCCTCGTATACTAGTGAGATCTCGATCGTACCGGTGAGTGAGTACACCCTGGGGGCTAGATAGTCTAGGTTCGTTGGTCCAGGCCATAGAGAGGTTCATAGCAGAAAGCTTTATGTGACACCAATTTGCACCCATTCCAGGATGTCTACGACTCGTTCAAGACTTCCAGGGCCGGAGGGTCTAGTTAGGGATGAGGGATAAGGGTGTGTGCTTGTAGGGTGTAGGGATTAGAGTAGGGATTAGGGTTTAGGATTCTAGGGTTTAGCGGTGTAGGATTGTAGGGTTTACGGATTTGAAGGTCTTCAGACTTCCAGAATCAACAATAGAAAGCCTTTAACGCTCCCTGTATCACTCCCAAGAGGGGTTTTGGGTGTCGGGTTTACGGTTATCTTGGATCGCACCGGTGGGTGAAGAGGTCCATAGCAGAACGAAGTATGTGACACCGATTTGCACCAACTCCAGGATGTCTAGGACAGGTTCAAGACCCGGAAGAAGAGGCGCAGCAAAATGGAAATGTCGTACCATCATGATACAGCCCCTTTGCCATATCAGGTGGAACACTTTCAGCAGTCGAGCACCAGGACGTCTCATAGTTGGCCGGTTGAAGGTGTAGATTCAACTACGAACTGCTTGATCAGGATCCAGATAGGGTAGCGGTCATGGCCATAACCTGACTAAAGCTTGAGCCCCAGAATTTCGATTCCGTTTCTGGCTTCGTAAGGGATGAGGGAAAGGTCAGGTAGCGATGGTATTCAGGGTCTAAGCTGGGGTCTTTCTGAATGAGCTTGCGACCACCTTGAGGTTTAAGAGGTGGCACATGATGGGATGGAACAAGTATGTTCTGCATGTTGGGATCATTGAAACCAGGTCTCAAGTGCTTTCACGCCGTTCTATCTGGGTTGCTGCACTCTCCTTCTCATTCGGAGCGTCTTAAGACAAAGTCTTGAGGCAAATGCTCGCCTTTTGCGCAGGTAGGGAACACATTTCATGCGAATGTCATACCTTTGAGTTTGCAAGATCGGGAAAAGCCTCGATGGAAGACAGGGGAAGATCGGGACAAGCCTCGATGGAATACAGGTGATACGCTGTGGTGTTTAGTCTTGGGATGTAAGCTGTGATGTTCAACCTGTGTGGAGGCCAGCACCTGGGGAAACGACATAGATGCGGGTTTCGAGACACCCAGGCGGGAGGGGAGAGCAACATGTTTAAAGTGGGTATGCTACAACGGGTATGTTGAAACTAAATGGCCGCACCACCTGTCCCCATGCAGCCTTTCACCGCTCCTGTGAAACGACGGGGCCAGGAAGAGGCCAAAAGAGGCCCGGGGGCCGAAGAGACCAGGAAGAAGCCAGGAAGAGGCCGGAAGGTGCCAGGAAGAGGTCAGGAAGAGGCAAGGGCCAGGAAGGATAGCAGGAAAAGAGGCACGAAAAGAGGTTCGAAAGAAGCCAAAAAAGAAGCCAAGAAGACATCAGGAAGAGGCCAGGAATTACATTGCATCTACAACATGCCTACAATATCGTAGTAAAAAAAACCAGTTGTCAAAGAAATATTGCACAAATAAACCTGGCAAACTGCTAAATATTGCAAAACTATTGCAAGGCCATGTTTTTTGGCAGCAATATTAATTTTAACGCTACGCGACCCGCCTCGGCCCGGCCCAGCGCATCCGCGTGAGCGTGGTGATTCCGCAGCGCCCAAGTCGCTGGACCCCAAGCAATAAGGGTTGGGTTTAGGGTTTAGGGTTCCGGGTTTATGGTTTATGGTTTGGGGTTTAGGGTTGAGGGTTAGTTTAGGATTGAGGGCTTAGGGCTCAAGGTTCACGCTTTGTTCAAGACGGTTCGGATTGGATTGATCGTAGGGTTGAGCCAGGCCCCTCAGGGGGGGGGTAGGGGGGGTGGGGGGGGCAGGGGTTTGAGGTTTAAGGTTGAGACTTTTCGACTCGTGTAATGCATCCCGGCCATGCTCATATCAGTTGAGCCTCGAAAACCCCCCACTGTGGGCTGTGTAGCATGCAACTCCCAGGTGACATTGAAAACTCGAATATTCGCATCCTTGTAGAAGCCATATAAATAAATATACTATACATACAATGTTTCGAAGTCCATAAATTTCTTTCAGCCTCCTTGCTGCATGTCCACGCGACACCGGGTACTGATTCAGGATGTCCTCAAACCGATTGTTCAGTTTCCAGAGCAGCTTGATTTTCTTGTACTCATCTGTGTCTGGGGCAAACCGGTCCCGCATGGCATATACTGTCGAGGAAAGACCCTTGATCTCAGCAGCCTTGCCCTTCAACTTGGGAAAATCCTTCTTTTTCTGAAGCATGGACAGCTTGGACAACCCTTGCTGGTACCTATTCTGGATGTTGTTCTCCTTCTGGTGCTTCTTGCTGAACCTCCGCAACTTTTTCTGATTTGCCAACGGCTCCTGCTCCATGATATGTCGACACAACAATTCAAAGACTGATCCAAACATATGCTGGGCAAACCCACGCACTTGGTGTGCATGATGTCATGGTGCACATGGCAAATTGTGAGGCCTTCCTGGAAGATGGTGCGTTTGCTGCGATTTGCCCAGCTGCAGGTCTCCATTCTGTAGTCCTCCATGGGCCAGTTGCACTGAAGTCATGCCAGCTCGGGTCTCCATTGATGCAGCACCTGCATAAAGCACATGGTTCCTTGGCCGAGAATCTGGCTAACTGTAAAAGCTGGGCATAAAAATACAAATCTCCAGGCTATGCCACCACCACTGCTCTCCAACCATCAGCCGATGGCTTCCCAGCCGGTCTTTGCCCAAAGTCCCTGCAGGAAAGTCGATCCCTCTCCAATCCTTTTCAGGATAGGTTCCTTTCCACATTGCATCCAAAGTCCATTCCAATACCGAGAAATAATCCTTATTGGTCTCCTTCGTCCAACTCTTGTTCCAACAAGCCCACATGTAGTTCCTTTTGACCTTGTCTGGTTTTCTGCTCTTTTCCCATATTAATAGATATATATATATATGTAGATATGTATTTGTTCAGGTGTTTATATACTAATGTGCATGTGAGGTATAAATCAGGAAACACAACAAATAAACCAACACACCAACAAACAAACAAACAAACAAACAAAAACATCTATGTGGGAGCCATGCTGCTTGTGTACCAAAGTTGCTCATCATGCTTAACACTGCTGCTCCTCCCAGTGATCGGCGTCTCATCCCCATGGTGCAGAATCGGAACGAGCTTCTGAAACTCATCCAATGTCATATCCTTCACCCCATGCACATCCCACTGTGGCAAGTGCCTAGCCCTTTGTCCTTCCTCATTGAAAATTCTGCTTCCCAATTCCATCCGAGGCATGTGCCGAACTTGTCTCATGATGTCTCTGTTGATGTTGTTGGCCTTAGATGCACACAAATACACATGGTGTGGACTGTGTAATATTTTTCTATGTCTCTCTCTCTCTCTCTCTCTCTCTCTCTATATGTATACACACTGTATACATATCTAGAGAGAACATGCATGACACAATAAATTCAACACCACAACTGAGCTACATGTTTGCCACAATTGCCAGAATTTCCAAGAGTATCCAGGTCCAAAATCTTCACAGACCTCGCATCCAACACAGCCAGCTCTGCAATCTTCTGTACCTGCATTGTGCTCAGCAGCCCCCATGCAAACTGCTCCAATAACCACATCCTCAGTTCTGATCCAGCTTCCTCTTTTCGAATGGAAGGGTCTCCAACATGAATGCCAGACCTTTTTTTGTCTGCATGAACAGCGGCTGCCATGAGATTCTCTACCTATATATACACTACGTTGTATACACGCTTGAACCCAGAACAGCTGCAGGATCAGGACACAAACAAGAGTCCGAAAAGTGGCACATGATCTCCACATAAATCATGTGTGTGAGCTGCAGATATGCACACACGCGCCACACAAGGGGCCATCCAGCCCAGACAGCATCCCCACACAGACCTCTTCTTTCACAACTGCTGAGCAGCACATTT